TAATATTTTGTTATCCAAACTCAATTAGATAATGTTTTTTAAACTTTTATTATTGTTCAATTACAGTTGTCCCCATTTTCCTTCCATTACTCCCCCTTCCCTACCCATCCCCATCTCCCACATTCAATCATTTGCCCACCTGCTGGTGTCTGTCCATGGGTCTTTCATACATGTTCCTTGATGATCCTTCCCCTTCTGTCCCGTTACATCTCTGCCCCTCCGGTTACTAATTATTTGTTTTTTATTTCCATGTCTCTTATTCTATTTTTCTCATTTGTTTGTTTTGTTCATTAGGTTCCAATTATAGGTCAGATCATATGGTATTTGTCTTTCATCACCTGGCTTAATTCACTTAGCATAATGCTGTACATTTGCATCCATGCTGTTGTGAAGGGTAGGAGCTCCTTCTTTCTTTCTGCTGTGTAGTATTCCATTGTGTAAATGTACCACAGTTTTTTAATTCATTCATTTACTGATGAGCACTCAGGCTGTTTCCAGCACTTGGCTATTGTAAATAACACTGCTATGAATATTGGGGTGCATAGGTTCTTTTGAATTGGTGTTTCAGTATTCTTAGGGTATAGTCCCAGCAGTAGAATTGCTGGGTCAAAAGGTAGTTCCATTTTTAGCTTTTTGAGGAAATTCCATATTGTTTTCCAGAGTGGCTGTACCAGTCTGCATTCCCACCAACAGTGTACCAGTTTGGCATTTTCTCCACAACCTTGCCAGCACTTGGTGTTTGTTAATTTGTTTATAATGGCCATTGTGACTGGTGTGAAGTGGCATCTCATTGTGGTTTTAATTTCCATCTCTCTGATGGCTAGTGATGCTGAGCATTCTTTCATTCATCTATGCGCATTCTGTGTGCCCTCTTTGGAGAAGTATCTGTTCAGGTCCTTTGCCAATGTATTAAAAAATGATTTTATTTATTTATTTTTATAAAGAAGGGAAGGGGAGAAAAAAGAAGAGAAACTTCAGTGTGTGGTTGCCTCTTGTGTGTCCTCTACTGGTGACCTGGCCCACAACCCAGACATGTGCCCTGACTGAGAGTTGAACAGGTGACCCTTTGGGTCACAGGCAGGTACGCAATCCACTGAGACACACCAGCCAGGGCCCTTTGCCCATTATTTAATTGAATTATTTTTCTTTGTGGTATGGAATCATGTAAGTTCTTTATATATTTTGGTGATCAAACTTTTGTCCAAGGTATTATTGGCAAATACATTTTCCCATATGTTTCATTCCCTTTTTATTTTTCTGATGTTTTCTTTAGCTGTGCAGAAGCTTTTTAATTTGAGAAGTCCCATTTGTTTATTCTTTCCTTTATGTCCCTTGTTCTATGGAACATATCGGTGAAAATATTGCTGTGTGGAATATCTGAGATTTTCCTGCCTGTGTTCTCCTCTAGGACTTTTATGGTGTTGTGACTTATATTTAAGTCTTCTATTCATCTTGAGCTTATTTTTGTGTATGGTGAAAGTTGTTGGTTGAATTTCATTTTTTTTTTAATGTAGCTGTCCAGATCTCTCAACACTACTTGTTGAAGAGGCTGTTTTTATTCCATTTTATACTCCTGCCACCTTTGTCAAATATTAATTGGCCCTAGAGACATGGGTTTATTTCTTGGCTCTTTATTCTGTTCCATTTTTCTGTGTGTCTGTTTTTATGCCAGTACCAGACTGTTTTGATTACAGTGGCCTTGTAATATAGTTTGATATTAGGTATCATGAGCCTTCCTACTTTGTTCTTCTTTCTCAAAATTGCTGTGCTAATTTGGGGTCTTCTTTTGTTCTATATAAATATTTTACATGTTTGTTCTATATCTGTGAAATATGTCATTGATATTTTTAATAGGAATTGTGTAGAATCTATAAATTGCTTTGGGTAGTATGGAAATTTTAATGATGTTAATTCTTCCAATCCATAAGCATGTTATATGACTCCATTTATTTAGATCTGCTAAGTGTCCCAGTTGGGTGCATGAGCAAGTGGGCTTACCTCCCACCTACATTGCTGCCATTTTCTCTTTCCTTTTAATTTTATTTTTTATTGTTGACACTTATTTTTATTAAAGTAAGATGTCCTCATTTTAATTTTTTTGCATTTCAGATTTCCTTCTTTTGGTCTCCAATGCATAGGGCCATCTCCTTCCAACACCTGATTTATAACCATTTTCTCTTCCGATTATTTTTCAAACTCTTGTTTTGTGGAAAAAATCAAATTTTTAATTTGTTGTATACATTACTGAGCCAATATGTGTAATGTTAAGGAAGTCAGGCTCTGTATTCTGGATTCATCCCTTACTTGAGGAGTGATAACTGGCATGGCACTTAACCTCTAAGTATCAGTGGCTGCATCTATATGCTGCAATGGAAATACTAGTGATACCTATATCCTAAAGTTGTAACAAGGATAAAATGAAGTAGTGTGGGTAAATTGTTCAGCACAGTGTCTGATACCTGTTGCATACTTTTACCATGATTGTTGCTTTTGCCATAGGTGATATTAATACTGCCATAGATGGAAAACTTCTCAGGCCCTTGGATCACATCTATGATTTCTCTTGTATTCTTGATATAACACAAAATACAAGTACTCTAATGAAGGCTTTTACAGTTGGTGGATGAAAGGTGAAAAATGAATTAGCCAATGTTATAAATTCTGATTCAACATACTTTTCTCATTAGAGATACTTGCCATTTGTAGATACAACATATATTTTAGTATTCACTTACATTGTATAAATGATACAGCTTTGTGAATATGAAAATGTATTTATAATATATATTTTTAAATGTATACAGATTAAGAAGAATTAACTTAAAATTTAGGCTAATCGAAACAGCTACCCTAAAAATACCCATGGCATTTTAATGCAATGTTATTTTACAACTTTAAAGTTTATAGCACTATAATTAGTAATATGTATAATATTTATTACCAATCTTAATCTTTTTTATATGACTGAAAAATTATTTTATACTAGTGAAATTAAAATGATAAAACTGTCAGCATAGCAGAATTAACTGAAGTAACTACTACAATATCATACCCCAAACCAGCTAATTTAAGTGCAAAATACTTTGTAAATGCTATTTATCTGGGCTAATGCTTGTTAAGGGCTTTAAGGAGTAGTTTATGTAGTGGAAATAAAAAAAAAATAAGCACTGTGCAGCAATCTTTACTATTGTTTAACATGAGAAAAATATTAAATAGGTTTATATATAGGTCACTTGAGGAAAATGTATCCATATCACAGCATAGTTAATATAAACAGGACTGACAGACAATATTACTTTCAGATGTTTTTAAAGGGAAAGCTTGAAAATGCTTATAATTGTCTTCATATAAATAATGGTATATTGTTAACTATGATAGCTAGACTGAAGATTCAGAGCATTTTAAGCCTATGTTTTGAAAAAGGAGTTTCAAAATATCAGACAGTTGTTTACCTGGTTACATCTTTTTCTGTATGCTTTTTTCTGTATTCATAATGACTCTGCCAAAGTGTTGTTGTTATATGATTTCACTAGTGGGTGGAATCTAATGAACAAACTAAACTAACAAGCAAATAGAGACAGACTCAGAGAAGAGGCTGATAGCTCTTGGTGGGAGTTGGGGGTGGAAGGATCAAGTGAAAAAGAAAAAGGACTCATGAACATGGACAACAATGTGGTGATTGTGTGGCAGAGTGGGGTATGGGGGAGTACATGGTACTTTAAAAATTATAAGACAAAATAAATTAAAAATAAAAATAAATATGGTTTTAGCAATAAGACTATTAATATATTAAAATAAACTTAGTATAGAAACTTTGGAAAATGTAGAAAAGTGAAAACAATCACCTAGATTTTTACCACTTACAAAGAATCACATGTAATACTTAGTATATATATGAGGTCTGTCTAGAAGCTATCCAGCCATGTAATATGAAATATAGAGACATCTATCGAAGAAGATACAAGATATAAGAAACAATGTACAGGGGACAATGATGCCTCAGTCCTCTTCAAAGAAGGCACCTTGGGACCTCACACTCTTCTCCCAATTGCCATCGGCTGCCCCATCATATTTTCCTGAATTTTGTCAATGCTCTGAAAGGTCTTCTCTTTCAGAGGTGATTTTCATTTGGGGAAAAGCCAGAAGTCACAGAGCACCAGATCTGGGCTGTAGAGTGCCTGAATCAACTGGATGACTTGATGTTCCACCAAAAAACTCTGCACATGACATGATGTATGAGTGGGCACATTGTTGTAATGAAGCTGCCAATCACCAGTTGCCCATAGCAGAGGCCTCCTGAATCATTCAAATAGTTTCTGCAGAGGAATGTTCAAGCTTAACACAAAATTTGATGCATATTTGTTGCTCTACTCAGTCATTTTGAATGCCATGGCCACACAGCACACATGCTCACTCAACAGCATGTACAGCCCCCACTGATTAGTACAGTGAAGTCATCATTGTTCATGCATGTGCATCCCAGAACACTCTCCCTGGCTTCCAGGTTTCACCACCAATGTTGTGCAAACCATTCCCATTATATTAACAATGATTGGACTTTTTTCCAGAAGAAAATATATATATTCTTTCTGTTCCCTCCTGGATAATTTTTAAATTTTTATCTAAAAGATAGTTGTGATTATACCCCACAGAATATTTAGATTTGTAATATAAAGGACTCTAAAAATATGTAAAAATTACTAATAACAATGAATTGGCTATAACTTTCCTTGTATTATTTCAGCCTTTCCTTTTTAGACCCTGAAAAAAGTATCACTACTTATATATATATTCCAAACTTTGTTTTAGTTGCATGTAATTTTGAAGGTTACATGATTAAAAACATGGTTAGCACTTAATATATTTTAGTAAACTTTAGGTCATAAATTTGAGAGCAACTATATGTTATAGTGATTATTGTCATAATTCAGTTGTTGAAAACAGAAGTTTGAAATACAATATGATGCTACATTTTGCAATATTTTGTTTTCTATTTTTAGGTCCCCCAGTACCTGGAAACTCCTGGGAGGACTCAGGTACAGAAAGTCCAGAGACAGCAAGTAAAACCCTTCATGACCCTTGACCACAAGATTGTCAACCAGACTTTTAAACAGTCCTACCCTCCAACGCAAAGAAGTGTGCTTGTGGTACAGCCTGGACACTCACCTCCCAAGAGTGACACTGTCCTGGCTGGAGATCCACTCACCAAATTGCTAACTTTTGGGAAAGAAGATGACAATGTGGAATGGCATGTATGTCTAATAGCTGCTTATGAAAATATATAATGAGCTTTTGAAAAAAAGGCATTCAAAGAAATTAAAGTTGACATTTTTTACAGTAAAAATCCAACTACAAATTCATTTAATAAAAGATGTCTTAATTTTTAAAATGTGTAATAATTGATATACACATTAATTATGCATAATACAAATATAAAAATTCATTTCAATACTCATGTATCAATGTAAGACAAAATAATCACTAACAGTAATATATGTTAAGATTTAGCTTTTTGGTGTGGTATGGAAAGGTCTTTGTTATAAATATAATAATTAAAAGAATTTCTTTTATAAAACAAACAAACTTCAGCTGAGAGTCAAGCACAGTTCTTCTCAAATAGAGTATTCAGTAACCACTGCATGACTTATGGGTCCATTGCCCATACTGGAACCAACTCTCACCACTTTACTGACAATAAATCAAAAATTTATTCTGAAGTTATTTGGGTTTTATTGATACAAATGAAATACTTAGTTATGGGACCTATATATAGACCCTGTATGGTGATCATCTTCATTAATAAAGTTTTTTTCTTTAGTTTCAGGTGTACAACACAGTGGTTAGACAATTTTATAATTTAAAAATTGCTCCTGCTAATATTTCCAGTACTGACCTGGCACTATGCACAGTTATTTACTATATTCCCTATGCTATAATTTACATTCCTGTTACTATATTATAATTACCAATTTGTACTTCTTAATCTCTTCACCTTTTTTAACTAATCTTCTACCCCACATCTCTTCTGGCAACAAATATTTTGTTCTTTGTACCTGTGAGTCTGTTTCTGTTTTGTTTATTTATTTTGTTCTTTAGATTAATATGTAAGTGAAATAATATAATATTTGTATTTTTCTGACTGACTTATTATATTTAGCATAATACCCTTTACATCCAATCATGCTGTGGCAAATGGTAAGATTTCATTATTTTATTAATGACCCAGTAATATTCCATTGAATATATGTACCACTACTTTAGCCAATCATCTAGTGATGGGCACTTGGGTTGCTTCCATATTTTGGCTATGGTAAATAATGCTGCAGTGAACATGGGGGGTACATGTTTTTCCAAATTAGTGTTTTTGGATTTTTTGGGGGGGGTATATACCCAGAAGTGGAATAACTGGGTAATAAGGCAGTCCCACTTTAAATTTTTTGAGGAACCTCCATACTGTTTTTCATAGTGGCTGCACTAGTCTGCATTGCCACCAACCGTACACGAGGGTTCTTTTTTCTCTACATCCTCAGCAACACTTGTTTGTTGATTTATTAATGATAGTCATTCTGCCATGGCTGGTGTGACTTGGTTGGAGGATAGACCCATAAACAAAAAAGTTGCAGGTTTAATTCCAGTCGGGGCACATGCCTGGATTGTCAGTTTGGTCGTTGGTCAAGGCATGTGAGAGGCAGTTGATTGGTGTTTCTCTCGCACATCAGTGTTTTTCTCCCTCTCTCTCTCTTCCTTTCTCTGTCTCTAAAATCAATAAGCATGTCCTCGGGTAAGGGTAAAAAAATGATAACCATTTTTACAGGTGTGAGGAAATATCTCATTGTGATTTTAATTTGCAATGATGTTGAGCGTCTTTTCATATATCTATTGGCCATCTGTATGTCCTTTTGGAGAAGTGTTTATTCAGGTTCTCTGCTCATATTTAATTGATTAGGGTTTTTTTTTTTTGGTGTTGAGTTGTATGAATTAACCTGAGTTTTTTGTATTTACCCTTTATCAGATGTATCATGGGCAAATATCTTCCCCCCATTCAGTAGTTTAGTTGTTTTTTTTTTTTTCATTTTCTTGATGGTTTCCTTTGCTGGGCAAAAACTTTTTAGTTTGATATAGTTCCATTTGTTTCTATTTTCTTTTGTTTTCCATGCCTGATCTGATGTATCAGAAAAACTATTGCTGAGGGAAATGTCACAGATTTTACTGTGTCTTCTTCTAGGAGTTTTACGGTTTTGATTCTTACATTTAAGTCTATAATTCATTTTGAGGTTTCTCATGTATATGGTGTAAGAAAGTGGTCTGGTTTCATTTTTTGCATGTATTTATCTAATTTTCCCCAAACCATTGATCAAATAGACTGCTTTTATCCATGTATGTTCTTGCTTCCTTTGTGAAATATGTATTAATTAGCCATATAGGTGTAGGTTTATTCCAGGGCTCTCTATTCTATTGCAATGATCTATGTGGCTCTTTTTATGACATTATTATGCTATTTTGATTTCTAGCCTTGTGGTACAGTTTGATATCAGGTGGCATGATACTTCCAACTTGTTCCTTCTCAAGTTTGCTGTAGCTATTTGAAATCTTTTGTGGTTTCACATAAATTTTGGGGTTATTTATTCTAGTTCTGTAATATACATCATTGGCATTTTGATAGAGATTGTGTTGAATCTAAAGACTGCTTTAGATTATATATACATTATAATTACATTAATTCTTTCTATGCAAGTACATGATATATGTTTCTATTTATTTTATCTTATTTGATTGTAATCTTCAAATTTGATAATTTTCTGAGTACAAGTCTTTTACCTCCTTTTTAAAATTTATTCCTAGGTATTTTTTTCCTTTTTGAACAATTGTAAACGAATTGTTTTCTTAGTTTCCCTTTTTGATAGTTTATTATCTAAGAAATAGAAGATCAAAAACTGTGAACAGTAAAATGACAACAAAATCATAACTATCAACAACTGAACCTAAAAAACAAAAACTAAGCAAATAACTAGAACAGGAACAGAAGCAGAAATGGAGATCTCATGAAGGGTTTTCAGTGGGGTGGGGGAGGGGAAGAATGCGGGGGTACAGAGAATAAGGAGCATAATTGACAGGCATAAAATAGACAGAGGGAGGCTAAGAATAGTATAAGAAACAGAGAAGCCAAATAACTTATATGTACAAATCATGGACATGAACTCAGTGGGAGGGCAGGAATGCTGGAGGGCAGGGAGTGGTACAGGGTGGAGGGGGGATAAAGGGAAGAAAAAATTGAGAAAAATGTTATAGCATAATCAATAAAATATACTTAAAATAAAATGCAAATAATATCGAAATATTTATGTTTTATCCTACTGCATTACTAAATTCATTTATCAGTTCTAGTTTTTTGGTGGAATCTTTAGGGTTCTTTATATAAAGTATCATGTCACCTTCAGATAATGACAATTTTACCACTTCCTTTCCAATTTGGATGCCTGTTATTTCTTCTACTCACCTGATTTCTGTGGCCAGAACTTCCAGTGGTCTGTGAAAGTGAACATGCTGTGTAGTTTATGATTTTAATGGAAACACTTTTAGTTTTTCCCCATTAAATATAATGTTAGTTGTGGGTTTGATATATAGCTTTTATTATGTTGAAGTATGTCCCCTATATTCCCACTTTGTTGATAGTTTTTATCATAAACAGGTGCTGGGCTTTGTCAAATGATTTTCTACATCTATTGATACAATTATATGATTTTTGTCCTTTAATTTTGTATGTGTTGTATCATATTAATTGACTCATGGGTATTGTACCAACCTTGCATCCCAGGAATAAATCCTTTTTGATAATGTTTTTTAATATTTTTGATGCATTGCTGAATTCATTTTGCCAATATTTTGTTGAGGATTTTAGCATCTATGATCATCAGGGATATTGGTTGATAATCTTCTTTCTTAATAGTGTCCATACCTGGTTTTGGAATTAGGATAATGCTGGCTTTGTAAAATGGCCTTGGGAATATTGTTTTCTCCTGAGCTTTTTGGAATAGTTTGAGAAGGAGGGGTGTTCTTTGAGTGTTTGGTAATATTCACCTGTGTAGCCATCTGGTCTAGAACTTTTCTTTGTTGGGAGTTTTTTTATTATTATTATTATTATAGCTATGATTTTGTTTCTTAAAATTGGTCTATTCAGCTTTTTTGTTTTTTCTTGGTTCATTTTGGAAGATTGTATGTTTCTAGGAATTTATCCATTTCATCCAGATTGTTCAATTTGTTGCCATATGATTGTTTATAGTATTTTGTTATAATTCGTTGTATTTCTATGGTGTCAGTTGTTACTGTTCCTTTTATTTTTTTGTTTTATTTGGGCCACCCCCTCACTTTTTTTTGATGAGTCTGATTATAGGTTTACCAATCTATTTCAAAGAACCAGCTCCTGGTTTCATGAAACTTTTGTATTGGTTTTTAGACTCTATTTTATTTATTTTCATTCTGATCTTTATTATTTCCTGACTTCTACTTACTTTGGGCTTTGTTTCTTGTTATTTTTCTAGTTCTTTTAGGTATAAAGTTACATTATGTATTTGAAATTTTTCTCGTTTCTTCAGATAGGCCTGTACTGATATGAATTTTTCTCTTAGGACTGTTTTTGGTGGGCCCCATAACTTTTTGGATTGTTGTATTTTCAATTTTGTCTCAAGATATCTTTGATTTCCTTTTTGATTTCATTATTAACCCATTCATTGTTTAGTAACATGTTATTTAGCCTACATATGTTTGTATGTTTTTAGTTTTGTTCTCTTTAGATAATAAAATTTTATTTTATTTTTCTATTATTCTATTATAGTTGTCCCAATTTTTCTACACTGTTCTCCTCTAACCCTAACCTACCCTCCTACTCTCACAGTCAGCCCCCACCCTGTTGTCCATGTCCTTGGGTCCTTTATACATGTTCTTTGACTAGACCCTTGATTTCTAGTTTTCTACTATTGTGGTCTGAGTAGATGTTTGATACGATTTCAGTCTTAAATTTATTGAAACTTGTTTTGTATCCTACCATATGGTCTATCTTGGAAAATGTTCAATGTGCATTTTAAAAGAATGTATATTCTGATGTTTTGGGATAAAATACCCTGTAGATATCATTTAAATACATCTGATCTAGTGTGTCATCTAAGGTCATTGTTTATTTTCTTTCTAGAAGATCTATCATTTGATGTCAATAGTGTGTCAAAATCCCCTACCGTAACTGTATTACTGGCAGTTT